TTGCTATGCTCAATATATTTCCTGTGCTGTATAATATATCTTTATACCTTATGTATTAAAACATAGTGATTTGTACCTCCTAATCCCCTATCCCTGTCTTGTCCCTCCTCTCTCCCTCTCCCCACTGGTTTGTTCCTTATAAATAAACCATTAGTTTGTTCCTTATATCTGTGAGTCTATTTCTGTTTTGCTGTATTCATTCTTTTGCTTTATTTTCTAAATTCCACACACAAATGATCACATACAGTATTTGCCTTTTTTTGTCCGACTTATCAACTAGAGGTTTTTAACATTTTTGAGTATTATGAACCCCTTTGCCTATTTGATCAAGCAGGACCCCTTCTCAGAATTGTTTTTATAAATGCATAAAATAAAGTACACAGAATTACAAATAAAACTGGTTATACGGAAATATAGATCTAGTCATGAATTTTTGGAGGTCTGTGGTGACCAAGACAAAAACTCCAGATTTAAAAATTAGTAGAAGCAAAAGTCATTTATTTCTGAAGTTAGAGTTAGAGCAAGTCATATGGAGAGTGGAGTGATTTCAAATATCAAATGCTGTAAAGAGGGAGGAGGGGTAGGAGGATTGAAAAGACATTGTAGCAGATGTTTCAGTAAATATGTTAGCTCTTCTCTCCTCTATGCATAGATATAGTTCACAGTGGAATAAAGACACTCAAGGTTGGAAATTAATCTTCACTCATTATCTTTTCACTGTTGGAGGCCCACATACACACCGTCCAGCAAACCTGCAATCACTCAGCATGTACAGCCTTAGTTCACACAAGCAATCCAAAATATGCTCTTACTTCATTAATCCGTTTATTAAAGTCTCCGTTCCTACCCTCACTAGGTGAAGAAGGGCAGTGTCCCAAAGGCCAGATACGTTTTTAATCTTCCATTCGTGTCCACTAGATTCTCTCCTAAGGCTCTATTGCGATGAAATCAACTTTGATCACATCACATCACAAGCCCCCTTTTATTTTTTTAATCAATAAATTTATTTTAGTTGGAAGATAATTGCAATACTGTGATGTTGCCATACATCAACATGAATTGGCCATTGGCTACCTGTGTGGCCTCCCTTCTGACTCCCCTCCCACCACTTTCTCTTCCCCATCCCAATAGGTCAGGTCATCACAGAGCACTGACTTTGGGTTTCCTTTGTCACGCATCAAATTCCCATTGGCTATCTATTTTACACATGGTAGTATATAAGATTCAATGCTATTCTCTCAAATCATCACACCCTCTCCTTCTTCCACTGTGTCCAAAAGTCTGTTCTTTACATCTGTGTCTTTTTTAGTAGTTAAATACTTTCCTTTTTAATACTTTAATACCACTCTTTCAAGGATTTGATATCATCCTTTCAAGATATTTTCAACAGAGCAATGGAAGAAGAAGCCAGATAGGCTGTGGAAAAAGGAATAGAAGATTCAATTCCCCAGGCTTACATCACAAGCTATCAGAATATGCCACTCATTACCACTTCTTTTTACACTAGTCTCTTAGCATCTGCTTTCTTCCCTCTTTTCTTGAAAGTTTTAGCTCCTACCTCATGGCAAACTTCTCTACCGTTACTCCTGTCATAATCCTCAGTGATTTGATCTTCACAGTGATGGTATTTTCCAAATACCTTGTCTTTTTTCAACAATCTCGTCCTATCCTCTATTCTGCCACTTATGCCCATGGTCATATCTTAGACCCTGTCATCATCAGTAAATACAGACCCTCCATAATTTTGGCCATCCCACTGTCCAACCACCAATCCTATCCTTCTAGTTCACCTCTAGTACCTTGATCCCAACAATCTTGGTATCTCTCAGTACCTACAATCCATTTATCTTTCCTTTCAATTTCACACCCCCTCAGTATCCTCACTTTCATCCTGACCAGATTCAATTCAATTCCATGGTCCATCATTATAATCATGATCTTTCATACTGCCTCAGTTGCCTTGTCCTTCTTCCACTTTATTGTATTTATTACACGAACAATCTTGCTTAGATTCATTTCTCCACAATTTTGCCCCTGTACTCATGAAGCTGAATGTGGCTGGGAAAAAAAAGATATATATATGTCCATGAGGACTAGTCTTAGTTTAATGACAGCTCATTTCAAGTGGACCTTTGTAATGTGGACTGGTGTTCTTACTATACTTACCTAATCCATTTACTCTCTAATTCTTCCAAGTGACTATCATTTTTTTTTTATTTTGACATTGAACTCTCACTTCTCCTCTATTGTTCTTAATATGCTTAAAATGCTTCTTTTTTTACAGAGAAAATAGGAGAAAAAAAGATAAAACTTCCACAAACTTCTCTCAAAATTTAATCTGAATACTTCTATCTGGTTTAGTTTCTTTATCTCCAGTTAGTAAGATTATACAGTTCACACCTTATCTAAGGCTAAATTTGCCACTAGTGCACTAGATTATATCTGTTCTTTCTTGCTCAAATACATCACTCTAGGAATTCCCCTCTCTCTCCAGAATTATTACTTCCCCCTTTACACTGGAATTTTACCATAGCACGCAAACAAATGTCTCCAAATGCAACAGATGTAGTCCTTTATTTCTTTTTTTTTAATTGAAAAAATTTTTTTCACCTAATATTTCTTTTGCTTGGAACACAATCTGACCAGATATCTATATCTGCATAGCTACCTCCTTCATCTCCTTCCTTGAGTTTCTTTTTCTTACTTAAATGTTATCTTCTCAATGAAGTCTTCTCTAGCCACTATTCACAACTTCACATCCACTCAGAACTCCCTTTCCTCTCTCTCCGCTTCATATAATGTTAAAATTTTTACTTATTTTTTCATTTTTATTTCCATCTGATGATCTGCTTGTCATCTGCGTCTCCTCACTAGAATAAAAGCTACTGGAGAAAACATGTTCGTTCATCACTGCTACCACAACCTAAAACATCGCCTAGCACACAAGAATGGGTACCATAATTATTTGTTAAGTGAATAGATGAAATGATTAAATCTGCTAAGTTCAACCACTTTCTCAGAAAATTTGATGGTAAAGAAAAGGGAGATAGTTTAAGAGAGAAAGCATGGATGGTTTGGGGGAAGATTTGTTTTCAGGGCTGGGAGTGGATATTTGTTGCCTTAACTGAATCCTTTCTTTTGGAATTAGGCCCCTGATTTTTCCTGTTTTCCACAGTTCCATATGGTTCAGATAGACCGCAATTTCCCAAATACGAGAGTACTGACATGTTGAAGCAGACAGTTCTTTGTTTGGGGGGCTGTCCTGAGCACTGTGAGATGTTTAGCAGCACCTCTGGCTTCTGCCCCCCAGATGCCAGCGGCACTCCCCTCCTCCAGCTGTAATGATAACCAATGTCTACAGGCATTTCCAGATGTCCTCTGTGGGGTGCGGGGATGGGGAGAGAAGGGACGGTGTGCTTACCCCACTTGAGAACAACTAAGGTAAACCAATTCCATCCCCAGATCTAAGCCTAGGCAAGCAGTTTAGGCTTTGTCATCTGCTTATTTCACTGTTCTGATCTAATAAGTGGTTCAGCTGAGGACGTGTGACCCTATTTGGACAAATCAGAGTTAGTGAAGGCAATTTTGAAAGAGTTATTGGACAAAAGAAGTTCTTCGTGCTAGAATGCTAAGCTGATGGGGTTTCCTAGGTGGTGATAGTGGTAAAGAACCTGCCTGTCAATGCAGGAGACTGTCTGCAGTGTAGGAGACCCAGGTTTGATCCTTCGGTCAGGAAAATCCCCTGGAGAAGAAAATGGCAACCCACTCCAGTATTCTTGCCTGGGAAATCCCATGGACGGAGGGGCGTGGCAGGCTGCAGTCCATGGGGTCACAAGAGTTGGACAGGACTTAGTGACTAAACCACCACCACCAGAGAATGAGGCCAGCAGAAAAAAACAAAACCAGGGAATGAAACAGATTCCTAAGAATATGATTTGAATATTTAATTCCCATTTTGACTGAAACAAGCTGCACCCTTGACCTTTTCTGTCATGCGACATAAAATTCTTTCTTGGTTTAAACCAGTGTGAGATGGATTTCTGTCACCTGCAGCTGAATAAGTACTAGCTTGAACACATTTTGTAGGTGAAAAAAGGCAGACAGTGATGCAAGAAGTATAACTGAGGGAGCAATGTCCTGGAAGAAACAGCAAGGGATGAGAAAACTATATAGTCTGTACAAAGTGGTAAGTGGAATGGAGAATAAGGATGGATAAACTTGAGAGGTTAAGGAATAGGAAGTAGAAAGCTATCCTGTGATATTTTCATCCTCTGCTAAGATAAGGAAGGTGGTAAGATATAACATGGGGTTTTCCAGTTGGCTCAATAGTAAAGAATCCACTTGCAATGTGCGGAGACACAGGTTTGATTCCTGGGTCAGGAAGATCCTCTGAAGAAGGAAATGACGACCCACTTCAATATTCTTTCCTGGAAAATCCCATGGACAAAGGAAACTGGCAGGCTATAATCTGTTGAGTCACAAAGAGTCAGATGCAACTTAGTGACTAAACAACAAGTTATAGTAGATGGCTTGACGTGCATGAACAAATGAGTTGGAGAAGTGAAAATGGCACTGTGAATGAATAAGATACCAAACTGCATACCAATTGAAAGCAATTTCTTAAGGAGATATCTGTACACTCATGTTCATGTGGGGGGGGGGGNAAAATATGTCAAACAGAATCTAGAAGAAGAGTGGGAGTAAATCTGTGGTAATGAATAAGATTTTATTTTCTCAATAATTTAATTACTGGAACAGAGAACACTGACAGCCAGACTTAGAGTGTGGTGGGAGAGAATGAGGGCACGGGGGGAAGGTGTTGTTGGATAAGTGTTGAGGATGAGGGAATTCAGTTTGTGGGTTAAGAGTTTGACTAACATGACAAAATGGTGGGATCCAGGATGCATAATTGTTAAATCAGAAACTCTAAAAACCCCAAAACTATGTCTGTTATTCAAGAGTTCATTGACTCCAGAAAAAAGATCACAAAAGGCAAGTTATTTTTAAAAGATAAAATATATTTGAATGACTAATGTACACATTATCAAATGACATTTTACAAGCAACTATAATTACCTCAGAGTTAAGCTTCAGAATTAAAACTTGACTCCCCTAATTTTAAAAAAGATGTGCAAACTGGAATTACTGAGTGATTATAGAAAGTCAAAATATATTTGATGAGAAAAACTCAAATGAAGTGGAAATAAATGTGAGATGTTTAACTATATCAGAGAAAGATGCTCTTATTAAAATAAAAACAGGCTTCCCAACAAATGTATGCCTATCATAACCAGAGGGTATGCTTCATATTTTGCTTAAATAATTAAAACCACACTATAATTAAAAGTATATGGTAACAGTAAGTATGCTGATTACAGTATATATGTCTAGATTCTTTCTAGACACAAGGAAAGCTCTTTTTAGTGGCTTCCTTAAAAATCTGACACTTCTTCAGAGATATGTAACTGTTTATAGCCATAGCCTGTCTCCAATACATCACAGGTGAGGCTTCAAAAAGTCCTTGAAGAACGCATGGCAGTGAAACTGGGCTCCCATCTTTATCATCAGGCCACTTTTCTTTGTTCTGCTTGAGACTGATTGCATATAGGAGTTAAATCTTATGAAACAATCTCACTGATGTTGAGACCATACTAATCCACTTGTTGACAATAGAATGGTTTCTTTCCAACTGATGTTCAGTTGGGTTCCAAGCAATGAAGCATACTGAAATAGATTAATTTCTATTTAGGAGGCAGCATGAAAAGCAGTGATGCAACTCAAAAGTTTAAGTATGAGTGTTAACCTTATCGCTATATATACCAATTACAAGTGCCACAAACAGTGGAGCAACAAGCCTAGTAGAAGATATCATTCAATTAAATTGTCCTTCATCATATTACATGAAGCATGCAAATAATAATTAAGTTTTGTATTGATAGATATGAATGAAAATAAATGAGGAAGCAATTAAAACAATGGTCTCTTACTAACTTACTCAAATATTCATTCAACAAACATTTACACAATAGCTTTACTTTGGGCCCCCAGGGCTTTGGTTTTAGAGATCACCCTGGCATAGTCACTCCTGTCCTCTTCTCTTTTTCTGCAACTTATCAGCAACAAGGTTTTCTTCCTCAACTGCCACAGCAGTTTTTCTGTCTAATTTATGGCACTTAAAGTTACACTATGATATATATATGTCTTATTTTTCTGACTAAAATAAGTTCCAAGAGGGTAGAGGTGGTATCTTCATTTTATATTTTATAACTTACATAGGAGAAAGCAGCTTGAAGTCAGATTTGAGCTTGAATTCTACTTTTGTCAATTACTGACCCCGAGTCTTTGGTCAAGGGAACCTTTTCTCCTTGGTTTTGTCACCAAGGATATTATATGCCCACTCAGGTATTACCTTGGAATAATACACCCCTTTTAAAGTTGCAGTGATGGCTAAATGAGATAAGGCGTGAAAGAGCTCTAGCATAAGGCCTGGGTTTAGCAAACCTTCAACTGTTCACCCCCATTTTCTCCTGGAGACCTCAGGGGGACTCTTCATGTTGCCTGCCAACCTTTCTGTGCTCCCTATCATTCAGGCTTCACCTCTCATGGTGACAAAGTAATACCTTCTCCTTGTCCTCAAGTCTTTAACATCTCCTTTTCTGCTCTCCCTGTCAGCTGGTCATTTTGCTTTGTATTCACTGAGAAAGCAGAGGCATCAGAAGAGGACTTCTACGTGTGTTTTCCCAATCACATCTCCCCACCTGCCTCCGTCTGCTCCCAGGCCTTCTCCCTTTCCTGTTACTAAGGCCTGCTCCCGCCTGAACACTAGATCCCATTCCTCCTAGCTTGGGACATTGCTCCCACAATTTTTCCTTTTCCTTCCCTCTCATTTCCTTCCTTCCTCCTAGATCATTCTCTTCAGCTTATGGGAATAGCAGCTATTCTCCATTCTTACAAATATGTCCCTTTGCTTCTTATCCTTGCCATTACTCTACTTATCTGCTCCTCTCTATAGAAAAAAATCCTCGAAAGAGAAATATCTAATTCCTCTCCTTTCATTCTCTCTTAAATTCACTTCAGTCAACTCCAATTTGCTTCTTTTCCTCTACACCAAAACTGTTCTCATCAAGATTACCAGCAAATCTTATGCTAAACACAGGTCGGTTTTCACACTGATGTTCCTTGGTCTATCAGCATATCTGGCAGGGTCTCTCCTCCCTCCTCCTTACCATTCCCTCTTTGCATGACTCCGGGAACACCACACTCTGGGGCTCCCTCCTGTATCAGAGTGGCATCTATGCTCTACGGTGTCAGCTCCTCCCCACTCCATGTCTCCTGATGTTGGGGGAGCCAGGGCTCAGCATGTGGACCCTTCTTCTTCCCTTGCCTATCTCACTCCCTTCACTGACCTTACTCATTTCATTATTCTGTATACCCATACACTGACAAGACCCAACTTTGTATCCCAAGTCTGGTCCTATTCCTAAAATGTTGAGTTGTGCATCCAGCTTTTTTTTAAGCACCTGTATGTAGATATCTATTAGATATCTTACATTTAACATCTCCAAAGTGAACTGCTCATGTTTCTCTCTGGTCCTGATTTCATTTTCAGTTGTCTTAATTAACGGCGACTCTATACTTCGAGTTGCTCAGGCCAAAAAATCCAGGCATCATCACTGACTTCTCCCTTTCTCTCATACCCTGATACAAACTGTCAGCAAATTCTACTGTCACTGTCTCAGAAATGCATGAAGAATCTGACCTCTCCTCACCAGGCTGGTAGTAGCCATTCACAACTTACTAGAGATTTGTGACAGAATCCACGTGAAGGCCCCATCTTTCACCCCTGGCACCTACACTCTCTTCTTGATGCAGCAGTTAAAGTGATCATCTGCTTCCCTGCTTCAAATCTTTCAATGATTCTCATCTCAGAATAAACACCAAGTTCATTACAATGACCTAGCATACTCTATAGGGCCAACAATCTTCACCCTCCTCCCCGTGTGTGCCTCCAACGCAGCAGGAACATACCACCTTATTATGCTCTTTATACTTACTGCTCTTTCTTCCTCAGCAAGGCTGAGTCCTTCTTCACACTAGTCTTTGCTGAACTGTCATTTTCTCAGTGAGGTCTTCCCTTCCATCTATACTTCCCTATCTAGCCCCTTTTCTGATTTATTTTTTTTCACAATATTTATTTATTGATTGATTTTTCTTTTGCTACTTATCTAAATGTTTGTTGAATAGATGAATAAATTTAAAAAAAAACAGGGACATGAGTTGGCAATGAGTAAGTTAACAGATTTTTTGCACGATTATTAAAGACCTATGCAACAGACCCATATATATTTAGTACTATGCTTATTGATAAATATAAATGGAAAGAAATTTTGACATAGAAATTAATAAAAATATTTAAAACTTCATTAGATACCAGTTTGTCTTCTGATTAGTTTGCTGGGCTGTATGGGTCAACAGAGTATAAGTCTAGTGTTTCTAAATGAACATCTTCTTTATGGTTTGTATTTGTGTAGTAATTGCTAAATGGAAAAAAAAAGAAAAGAAAAAATAAATTATTCATTCACTGAAGATTACTATAAAGGTGTATCAGGTTTTTTTCCTTTTTGCAATTCCCAACACATGGTAAGTGATTTTCATGGATGATTTCATTTTATTGTCTTAACTATCTTATGAAGTAATCACTATAATCCCCATTTTTTGGAAAGACCCATAAAAATAATTTGCTAAGCTACTAAGTGTCCAAATCAGAAGTTTCCACTGGGCAGCTTTATCCAGCTCTTTTAATGACTAATAATTAGGACTCCCAAATNTGTTACAACATTGCTTCTGTTTTATGTTTTGATTTTTTGGTCAGCAGGCATGTGGAATATTGGTTCCCAACCAGGTATTGAACATATACCCCTGCATTGGAAGGTGAAGTTTTAACCACTGGACCGCCAGGGAAGCCCTTGAATATATTTCTTACATCTATTGCATCCTCTTGATCCTCACCACTGCTGCTTTGGTTGACAACTCTACTGCCTCTTTTTAAAAAAATGAAAATCTGAACATCTTGTTTCTTTGCTTAAGATTCTACAGGGTGAACACCAACTCCTTGTCATGGCATACAAGGCTTTTGATGATCTAACTTTCAGACCATCTTTCCCCAAGACTGTTAAACATCAGTCCCATGAGATGTTATAGGCATTTTATGGGAAAAAGTTTCGGCGGCCCACTTGTTTTGGGGGCTTGTTTTTTGAAAAATTAAATAGGCTTCTTTAGTGTAGGACCTTAAATAGTCTCATGGTCATTGTGAATCCCCGTGAGAAAAATGTAGAATCAAGTATTTCCCAGTCTTATTTATTCATAGAACACCGTTTCTCCTGAAATCATTCACAAAGCCAAGGTTATGTGATAAACTCTGATAAACACTACTGCCTAAAGTACCTCTCAACTATAGACCCTTGCCACACCTACTGTGCTTATGCCCTTCCAGGCCTAGAACACACTGTTCAGGTTCAAATATGCCATTATTACATAATTTCAGTGTAACCCCCTTCATGTCTGATGCCTACACTAGGCATTATAGAACTCTGAAGAGTGCAATCAGATCATTTAGATAGATCCAAGTGATGTGGCTTGTTAAAGTAATTTTACTGGAGTTCGTGGGTGACATGTTTGTGGTGACATGATTTGGTCATCCCGCACTGGAAGTTATCTGAGATTTGGTAAGACTTTACCTGATTATCCACCCTATCACTAGCGTTTATTGATCCTTAAGAACCTGGGCACACAGAACATTCCCTGGCTGATACCTGATGATATCATTTGCTAAAAGTGTATCATTTGCACCTATCAGAATATTCTGCAACTTCCATAAGATTTTATGTATCAGAGAGGATCTTTTACATCACTTAAACCTATGCTAACTTCAACTTCAATCAGCATCACACATGTCAATTGCTTACGTAGTTCTTATAATATATGATGGAAAGATAAGTCCCTCGGTCTTTACTCAAACTGCATCTTCTACTTGGAATACTTTTCTTTACTTGTCTACCTTCTGTGAGGCATATCTGCAACATTTTCTCCACTATGAAAGCTTTTCTGATCAAAATTCCTAAGTACTGACCATTTGATTGCATCCCCACCTAATATCACATAACCTACTCTGTTAATAATACTTTATGGACACTAATTTTTTTAATAATAAATTTAAAATAAAATGAAAAAGTATGTCTAATTTATGGATGATAAACATAATATAGCAAAATGTAGAAATCTAGTGGTATATTTAAATAGTCATGAAAACAACAATTGAGTTGTTTAAAGATTGCTTAAACAAATAGAAAGGCCTAGTATGTTTCTGTATGAGAAAGCATTACAGAAAATGTGTCAATTCTCAAAGGTTAACCTATAGATTTAAATGTAATCACAATGTATCTGTCTTTAGAAAATGACAGATCATCTAAAACTCCTATAAGAACAAATAGAAGAAAGAGGAAAATCTTTAAAAACTATAATGAGGGGATTCTTGCCTTGTCAGAAATTATATCAGAAAGCTACACTATTTGAATGCAAAGTGGTTTGTGATAGAAAAATAGACACATCAATGAAACAATAATAAAAGAATCCAGAAATATAACATATCCAGATGCATTAATTATTTGATATATGATCAAGTTGGAACTTTCTGAAAAGCCATTTGGCAATATTAACTGAGCATCTAAATATTCATACACTTATTCCTAGAATTCTAGGAATCTAAGCTAAGGAAATATGGAGATGTAGAAGTTTCTTTAAGTTTTTCTTGTCTTTATTTATTATGAAAATAAATATGGAAGCAGCTTAAAATCTACACAATATAGATACATATGATAGAAAAATATGCAATCAAATTGGTAAAAAGAAAATGTGATTTAAATATAAAAATAGGCTAAATGAATCTGCAACATTTTCTCCACTATGAAAGCTTTTCTGATCAAAATTCCTAAGTACTGACCATTTGATTGCATCCCCACCTAATATCACATAACCTACTCTGTTAATAATACTTTATGGACACAAATTTTTTTAATAATAAATTTAAAATAAAATGAAAAAGTATGTCTAATTTATGGATGATAAACATAATATAGCAAAATGTAGAAATCTAGTAGTATATTTAAATAGTCATGAAAACAACAATTGAGTTGTTTAAAGATTGCTTAAACAAATAGAAAGGCCTAGTATGTTTCTGTATGAGAAAGCATTACAGAAAATGTGTCAATTCTCAAAGGTTAACCTATAGATTTAAATGTAATCACAATGTATCTGTCTTTAGAAAATGACAGATCATCTAAAACTCCTATAAGAACAAATAGAAGAAAGAGGAAAATCTTTAAAAACTATAATGAGGGGATTCTTGCCTTGTCAGAAATTATATCAGAAAGCTACACTATTTGAATGCAAAGTGGTTTGTGATAGAAAAATAGACACATCAATGAAACAATAATAAAAGAATCCAGAAATATAACATATCCAGATGCATTAATTATTTGATATATGATCAAGTTGGAACTTTCTGAAAAGCCATTTGGCAATATTAACTGAGCATCTAAATATTCATACACTTATTCCTAGAATTCTAGGAATCTAAGCTAAGGAAATATGGAGATGTAGAAGTTTCTTTAAGTTTTTCTTGTCTTTATTTATTATGAAAATAAATATGGAAGCAGCTTAAAATCTACACAATATAGATACATATGATAGAAAAATATGCAATCAAATTGGTAAAAAGAAAATGTGATTTAAATATAAAAATAGGCTAAATGAAAAAAAATTAAGGCAGGAGACTATAAGGCCAATATTGCAGTTTAAAAAAAAGAAAGAAATAAGAAAATAATCATATAGGCAAGTACCAAATATCAGTAGTTTTTATGACTGGGATTTTTTCCTAGTTTTTAGATTTTTTATTATGCATAAATAAATATAATCTTATCTGTATAATTATCATTCAAATAAAATTAATGCTTTTTATCTTTTAAGTTCTTATAGAAAGGATCTTCTATTTAATACAAGATACCTTATTTCAGTTATCACATTGCAGTATTTATTTCATTTAACTTGTGCTTCTGTGTTTAGTTTCAGGAAAGAAGTCAAAATCTTTTGTGCATTTTGGTCAAGCAGGCATCAAACTTACCGTTCTCTGTGTTTTAATATCATGCGTAAGGTGACAGCACCCAAGCAGAAAAGAGCTACTACCCCGGCAGAAAAACCTAAAATACAAAACAGAGTATTAAATGATAGAAAATTGTAACCTGCATTGTTTTGAAGTGATTGTGGTACCTGTTGCTAGTGGTGGGGAAAATGTTATGTGACTTTTTTGCTTATTCTTCTTCAGCCATACAGATATGCAATTCCAAAATAGTTGTATGTGGGCTTAAATTTTGGATTTAATCCACTTCATATTTATCCTAAATCACCAAGCATTTGACCACAAGGTCCCAGTCAAGTTTAGGTTCAGCTTTTCTGTTCTTTTCAGTTTTATTAGTGATATTCTTGTCACTGGAGTGAAATTAGCAGCTCAGGACACCAGGATTCCATGACTTTTCATACAAGATTTAACTCTCAGTTGTGAAATACATTTCGCCACTGCAGAATAAACCAGTCTGTTTTAATAGCAACCAAACCATGCAAAAGACCAGTAGTTCAACGAAAGTTTTGTGTGTGGTGCTCAGGCGCTCAGTCATGCCAGACTCTTTGCAACCCCATGGACTGTAGCCTGTGAGCCACCTCTGTCATAGAATTCTCCAAGCAAGAATACTGAAGTGGCCTGTCACTTCCTCCAGGGTATCTTCCCAACTGAGAGACTGACCCCATGTCTCTTGCATCTTCTGCACTGACAGGTGAACTCTTTACCTCTGCACCATATGGGAAGCCCAAGCATTTAGTAAACCTAAATTTTTGAACTAAAAACTGGGAGTGGCTGGTGAAGTTGAAGTCATTTATTTCATCTTATCCAAAAGTGATAGTTTGTGATGTGAAGTGCACATTAAAAGAGCATTAGCACACTTTTTTTTAAAAAAGTACAATTTCTTATTATTTCAAATGAAAAAACTTAACAGGCAGGATACAGGGCTTTCCTGGTGGCTCAGATGGTAAAGAATCTGCCTGCAATGTGGGAAACCCGGGTTGGACCCCTGGATTGGGAAGATGCCCTGGAGAAGGCAATGGCAACCCACTCTGGTACTCTTGCCTGGAGAACTCTGTGGACAGAGGGGCCTGGTGTACTACAGTCCATAGGGTGGCAAAGAGCTGGACACGACTGAGTGACTAAGTACTGCACATATCAGTTCAGCTCAGGTGCTCAGTTGTGTCCGACTCTTTGCAACCCCGTGGGCTGCAACACTCCAGGCTTCCCTGTCCATCGCCAACTCCCGGAGCTTACTCAAGGTCATATCTATTGAGTTGGTGATGCCATCCAACCACTCATCTTCAGTTGCCCCCTTCTCCTCCTGCCTTCACTCATTCCCAACATCAGAGTCTTTTCAAATGAGTCAGTTCTTCACATCAGGTGGCCAAAATGTTGGAGTTTCAGCTTCAGCATCAGTCCTTCCAATGAATATTCAAGACTGATTCCCTTTAGGATGGACTGGTTGGGGCTCCTTGCAGTCCAAGGGACTCTCAAGAGTCTTCTCCAACACCACAGTTCAAACGCATCAATTCTTCAGCACTCAGCTTTGTTTATAGTCCAACTCTCACATTCATACATGACTACTGGAAAAACCAATGCTTTGACTAGACGTACCTTTGTTGGCAAAGTAATGTCTCTGCTTTTTAATATGCTGTCTAGGTTGGTCATAACTTTTCTTTCAAAGAGCAAGCATCTTTTAATTTCATGGCTGCAGTCACCATCTGCAGTGATTTTGGAGCCCCCCAAAATAAGGTCTGTCACTGTTTCCATTGTTTCCCCATCTATTTGCCATGAAGTGATGGGACTGGATGCCATGATCTTAGTTTTCTGAATGTTGAGCTTTAAGNACTCTCTCCTTTCATTTTCATCAAGCAGCTCCTTAGTTCTTCTTCGATTTCTGCCATAAGGGTGGTGTAATCTGCATATCTGAGTTTACTGATATTTCACCAGGACCTCAAATTTTACATACATTTGTATAAATTACCATTAGAGGTTTTATCGAAGAATTTAAGAAAACTTACCAGCAATAAGAGGAGCAAGTGAACCTAAGGAAAATACAAAATCATGAAAACATTAGTCTAGTTGCATGGCTCCACAGAGCTCCAAATACCATGGATATCCCAGAAATTAACATTCAGATCCCTCTTCTTTAAGTCTACTACTTAAAAAGATGTATCAGAACACTGAATTATACCCAATATTTCTTCATTTTTTATATAACAACTTCACTGGCCTTTAAATTGTTTTCTTCTTTAAGGTGAGGTAGTTCATTCATGGAAAAAAAAAAAAATAAACTCAACTTCATAATCAGGGATTTCTCAGGTCAGAATGCAATCAACCATTACAACAGGTTAGTTAGCATATTTTTGGAGGTTCCTGTCATATTGGTAAGCACTTATAAATCAAGATTCAGCAATAGAAGAAGTCTAAGGGCAACTTCTTTCAAAATACAGTCTATCTTTTGTATCTATGGATTCAACCAACCACTAATCAAAAATATTTGAAAAAGTAAAATATTCCAGAAAGTTCCAAAAAGCAAAGTTCATGCTGTGAGCCCAGCATCTATTTACATAGCATTTATATTGCATTGGGTATTAGAAATAATATAGAAATGATTTCAAGTATATAGGAGGATGTGCACAGATTATATGCAAATACTATGCTATTTTACATAAGGGACTTGAGAATCTGCAGATTTTTGTGTCTAAGGGAGTCCTAGAACCAATTTCCTTGAGGATACTAAAGGACCACTGTATAAGGCTGTTACTTTTGCACCTTTTAAATCAGTGCTCATCTCTCTTTACAGTCTTTCTTTACTTTCCCAATCTTCAGAAAGTCTCACTTCAAATTCTTCTGTTACTGTACCACTGATCACAAACCTACGTCAATGTAAAACCCAGGAGTCCCTAAAATTGAGGGATAACCCTCCGTCTCCTCTTTCCAGTGAAACAAGTAGAAGCTGCAGTGAAGCTCTTTGCACTTACTGGGTGATTTGCAAACAGCCAAGGGAGGGTTCCATCGGTGATCTTCCTGACACTGGCTCTGGGGACTGCCTTCTAGGGTATAGCCGTCTTCACATACTAAAGTGACAACGGCTCCATATTGATACATTCTTCCAGGCTCCAGCCCATTCTGGATTCCATTTGTATGTTCTGGGAAGCTACAGTTCACCTCTGAAAATAAAGGAATATGATTGAATCTGTGTCATATTTTGACCTTTTACTAAGAATGTAAATATTGCCCTTAATGGAAAGATTTATGAAATCAATTTATTCTATTCTCAATTGGTAAAACATCACTGAAATAACACAAAATTATATCCTAGGCATAGACTTTTAGTGTCAGCCATCTACCTCAATAACACCCCGGTTATCAAATCCCTTTCTTTCTTGTGCTTTAGTCTCTAAACCAATAATGAGTAACTTTTGTGGCTTCTTAGAGAAATGATGCAGGCTGAATGAGTAATGCTAGGACTTCTGAATTATTTCCTCAACTTCTACTCTTGTTCTCCAATTCTTCTTACATATGAATATTTCCTCTTTTCTTCGTCTTTTCAGTGTAGTGGCCAATAGTGTGAGATTTTGGATTTGAACCTAACTCTAGGGCTTTCAAGTTGTTTGACTCTGTATAAGTTAAAAATCTCTCCATTCTTCTAGGACTTCATTGATAATACAGGAATAATGACACCAGTCTCTGATGGTTCTCATGAGGATTAAATGACAGAAGGCATGCAAAGTGCTGTGTACCCTAAGCGCTCAACTAATATTTAGTATTAACTCAGCACTCATACTTCATATGCAATATTTATGGTAGTAAAAATGACATTCTGAAACTTTTATAAGTATACCCATAATCCTACCACCACTTACAGGGAAATATGCTCAAAAAATTATTTTTTAGGAGCATTTTGTCAAATGCACACTTATCATAACTATAACCACCGTGCACATTCAATCTGCACTAGTTGTTTAATCTACATAAGTTGTAGTTGTTTAATCATAAAGACTTCATCTTTCCATATTTAAATGACTACATATATGATAGCTCATATAGACTAGGCCTTCAGCCATTTTCTTTATTTTGTAATATTTAGATTAGTTCATCTATTAATCCAATTAAATCCATTTAATTGGATTAAATATGTTAATTAAATGTATTTAATTAAATGATCCCATTAATGCATTTATTTGGCTATCTTAAGTTGAAGGTACTTAACTGGAAATACTTGGAATAAATTTTATTTGAAAAATGAGAAAACAGAGAACACACCTTTGCAATACGGGGCAGGTCGGTTCCAAGTCCCCTCGTGTGTGCACAGGAGGAGTGCCTCTCCCACAAGCAGGTAGCCCTGGTCGCAGCTGTACAGGATGGACATTCCGGGAGAAAACCGCGTTATGTCTCCACCAGTGTGGTTTCCATGGGAGATCCTAAACGGACGTTGACAGCCTACGAAAGCTTGGACATCAATGTGGAAGGATGTTTAGTTTAGTATCGAGGAACAGACAGCCAGTACTCTCTGTAGCTGATAACAATACAGAGAGAAGGCAGGCAACAAGCCAACGGATCAGTATCCAAAAAGCCTCACTCCACCCAAACCAAGCAGTACAGGACAGATATTTGCACTTCCTCCCTACACCATGTATGATCTGCAAGCAAACGTCAGTGGTTGCAGCCTACAAGTGTAATCCATCAAAGAGCAGTAATCTTTTCTCTTTAAATGATAAAAAGGTTGTAGTCAAGTGTCACACCTTCAAATATCTACAGGCACCAAGAAGTGATGCCAAGTTATAGAGCACCTATCTTTCTGAAAATGGCAGACACTGCCTAATTCAAGCTACTGGCATCTTGCAGGAAAGCAAAGGGGATCCTCACTGTATCACAGATTCATAGTTTATCTTGGGCAGTAGAGATGGCTCTCACTTAAAATAAGACTGCTATGCTAGACAAAAATAAACAGTTCTGAATTCAGTTCTTGGTTGCCATTTGGCATTCTCTGTTGCAGACAGCCAGTGACAGGGATAAAACTACCAATGACAACTAAAACTACAAGACAATTAAGTGGGTTTTAAGGCTAGTTCCATTCTCTAGAATACTCAAATATCTCTTTATGGCTGATAGCACAGCCTTAAATACGAAATCATCAAGCAATGTTACTGCCAAACATTTGCTGAAAAAGGTATATGCATTTTTGCCACTCTAAACTAATAAAAATAATAAATTTGGAAATCCCATCAATTTAGAAGTTAACCATTATCCTTTCATGTACCTTTTGTCAACATGCTTGGAAAGAAAAGGGAAAACAAAAAACAAGCTGAGAAAATAAGACAAGCAAATATTTTGTAAAAATAATATGATTACCTAAACTTTTAACTTGCCTTTCTATAGGTGAAATGCCAAGTGCAGATTCAAAACCCCTTCTTAAAAATTCTATGTAACACCCCATATTTTATTTCTTAGAATATCTTACCCTTTCTGATGCAAGTTGGTACACCTGGCACCCATTTGTTGTTGGTATGGCACCTAATCAAGTGACTGCCATTCATGATGAAGCCGGGATTGCAGGCAATATGTAATATGTCATTGTGGGAATATTGAGACTGAGTTTTATTTAGCTTCTTTCCATGCATGACTTCTGGGTCAGGGCAGTGAGTCACAGGGGAAGATTTTATGCACTGCGGGGCAGGTCCACTCCAAAATACCTGTCCTTTAGAATCTCTTATGCACCGTATACTTTTCTCTCCCAGGAGATCAAATCCTTGATCACATTCATAAAAGACTTCATTTCCATATTGAAAGACTTCTGCCAGCACACCCGTGTGCCTCCCATTTTTAATCACTGGTGGAGACTGACAGTTGATAACTGCAAAAGAGAACAGGAAATTCTCCTTCAGCTAGTACACCATGGTGGACAGTCTTCATTCAGATACAAACGCAACTATGCAACGGTGTGTACTGCACATAGCTAGAAAGCAGTTTCCTGGAGGAGGGGATGGCAATCCACTCCATTCTTGCCTGGAAAACTCCACGGACAGAGGAGCCTGGCAGGCTACAGTCCATGAGGTCACAAAGAGTTGGACATGACTGAGTGACTAAGCACACATAAAGTTATTTAAATTTTAGATGCTGGATCATGCTTTCTTTAAAAAACTTTATTGAATTTTTTGACTCTATGAATAATACATACTCATTCCAAAATAATTCAGAAAATAGAGTACAGATATAAAGGAATAAATACAGCTATGTTCCTATGAAATAAATAGTTTATATTGTTATTTTTTAAATTTTGAGCAATTAGCAGGCCTACTGCAAATACAGTCATTCCTCAGTATCCATAAGGGACTGATTCTGGGGTCCCCCATCAGTACCAAATTCCAAGGATGCTTTAGCTCCTTATATAGAATGGCATAGTGTTTGCATTTAACCTATGCACAGCCTCCTATATATTTTAATCACCTCTATATGACTTATAATACTGAATACAACATAAATGCTATCCAAATATTTACAAATACAATGTAAATGCTAGGTAAATAGTACCCAGCACATAGCAAATTCAAGTTTAGCTTTTGGAAACTTTCATGATTTAAAATATGTATATAATATATGTATTATTTGCAGTTGGTTGATCCACAGTTATGAAGCCTGCAAATACAGAGGGTCAACTGTATTCATTTCCTACTTGACAGTTTTGTTTCCCAATGCTAGTGCTATGTAAATACTAAAACAAGTTTTATATAAACTAAGCTAGAACACACACACTGCTGAGGCATAGATTAGCTATGCAGTGACCTGTCCTCTTTACCTTTTTACAACCCCATGGACAAATTTTCTTTTTTTTTAACTTACTTTCACAAAGTGGAATCTTTTGGAACCAAACCCTATTTTCATCATCTTGACATTTCTGATAAGTGTGTCGTACAGTCATCTGGTACCTAGAGAGAGATTATAATACATTTTCTTCAGGGTCACAGGTGTAGTCTACAGTCATCCCAGAGACAAAGAGGACCCTATTTCCACCTGTATGCTGACCATGGTAGGGCACAGAGGGTGGCTGACAGCCTGGAGAGAAAACTTCCCACATAAATACCAACAATTCAAGAACGCTGAGTACACAACATTTGACAGAAGACAATCTGAAACTTTTAAGCAAAAGATCAAGCTCTTATTCATTGCTGAGTGCTTTCTGCTCTTTTGAAGGAAACTGGAACCTTAAAAACAGATCCATTGAATTATCTACCCCGACAATATCCCATATCCAAGGGAGCATTTGCATAATGAACATAAACAACACAAATAGACTGTTTTAATACAGAATGGTAATCTATGCCCTTTTGCTTTTACCCACAACTCTAGCTTTGGGTGGGAGATAACAAACAAGAATAAACAAATAAATACCTCTGTTTTTTCTCCACTTGATTTTTACCTTTTTCACAAACTGGTATTTCAGGATCCCAGGTGTTATTGGCTTTGCAACGAATCTGACTGCTGCCCTTCAAAATAAATCCAGCAGCACACTCGAATATCACACTGTCATTGTAGAAATAAGGAGCTTCCTTGCCAGATATCTTGTATCCATTTGTAACATTGACAGGCAAGCACTGAACAGCAGGGAGGGAAAGTGTACAGAGAGGAGCAGGGCCACTCCAGATGCCTGTCTCTTGATCATCGCTTATACAACGAATTGTGCTCTCCCCAATGAGGTCATACTTCACTCCTCTCTCTGGCCCAGGGTTACATGTGTAAGTGACTCTGGTTCCATATAGGACATCTTCTGAAGAACTGCCTGTGTGTACTCCATTGTCGATAACAGGAGGTGGTGGGCAGGTGATATCTGGAGAGACGAGAACTTACACTACAATTCTGTTTCAGTATTAGACACCAAAGAAAAGAAAATGAAAAAAAAAGAAAAGAAAAGAAATGAAGCTGATTATAAATCTTTTATCTGGTTTCCTAGAGAATATGGGTGACATGATTATGTTTTGTGTCAAAACTCATTATGTGTGTAAAATTCAATTTAAAAGATTTCATTGAAAAGATCTTTGCAGTGTGTTAAAAGATGTATATAAATATATTGTGACTAAAGTCTGATAGCAAATTATTAAGAAAAGGATTCTTTTTATAACAACCAATAGGTCAATAGGCAGACAGAATGAAAACCACAATCACAGAAAACTAACCAAACTGATCACAGGGACCACAACCTGTCTAACTCAATGAAACTATGAGCCATGCCATGTAGGGCCACCCAAGAGAGATGGTTCATGGTGGAGAGTTATGACAAAATGTGATCCACTGGAGGAGGAAATGGCAAACCACTTCAGTATTCTTTCTTTGAGAACCCCATGAACAGTGTGAAAAGGCAAAAAGATATGACACAGAATGATGGCCTCCTCAAGTTGGTAGGTGCCCAATATGCTACTGGAGAAGAGTGGAGAAAACTCCAGAAAGAATGAAGAGACAGAGCCAAACTGAAAACAATGCCCAGTTGGGGATGTGACTGATGACAGAAGTAAAGTCTAATGCTGTAAAGAACAATATTTCATAGGAACCTGGAATATTAGGTCCACGAATGAAGGTAAATTGGAAATGGTCAAACAAGATGACAGAGTGAATATCAACAGTTTAGGAATCAGCGAACTAAAATGGACTGGAATGGGAGAATTTAGTTCAGATGACCAATATATCTACTACTGTGGGCAAGAAGCCCTTAGAAAAACTGGAGTTGTCCTCAAAGTCTACAAAATAGTCTGAAATGCAGTACTTGGGTGCAATCTCAAAAATGACAGAATGATTTCTGTTCATTTCCAAGGCAAACAATTCAATATCACAGTAATCCAAGTCTATGTACCAACCACTAATGTGGAAGAAGCTGAAGTTGAATGGTTCTAGGATGACCTACAAGACCCTCTAGAACTAACACCCAAAAAAGATATCCTTTTCATCACAGGGGACTGGAATGCAAAAGTAGGAAATCAAGAGATACCTGGAGTAACAGGCAAGTTTGGCCTTAGAGTACAAAATGAAGCAAGGCAAACGTTAACACAGTGTTGCCAAGAGAATGAACTGGTCATAGAAAATACCCTTTTCCAGCAACACAAGAGATGACTGTATACATGGACATCACCAGATGGTCAATACCAAAATCAGATTGATTATATTCTTTCCAGGTGAAAATGTAGAAGCTCTATACAATCAGCAAAAACATGACTGGGAGGTGACTGTGGCTCAGATCACGTATTCCTTATTGCAAAATTCAGACTTAAATTGAAGAAAGTAGGGAAAACCACTAGACGATTCAGGTAAGACCTAAATCAAATCCCTTATGATTATACAGTGGAAGTGGCAAATAGATTCAAGGGATTAGATCTGATAGAGTGCCTGAAGAACTATAGACAGAAGTTCATGACATTGTACAGGAGGCAGTGATTAAGACCATCTGAAAGAAAAAGAAATGCAAAAAGTCAAAATGGTTTCCTGAGGAGGCCTTACAAATAGCTAATAAAAGAAGAGAAGTGAAAGGCAAAGGAGAAAGGGAAAGATATACCCATCTGAATGCAGAGTTCCAAAGAATAGCAAGGAGAGATAAGAAAGCCTTCTTCAGCGATCGATGCAAAGAAATAGAGGAAAACAATAGAATGGTAAGAAACTAGATATCTCTTCAAGAAAATTAGAGATATCAAGGGAATATTTCATGCAAAGATAGGCTCAATAAAGGAAAGAAATGGTATAGACAGAAGCAGAAGGTATGGCAAGAAGATATTGCAGAAGCAGAAGATATTGCAAGAAGAGGTGGCAAGAATACACAGAAGAGTTACACAAAAAAGATCTTCAAGACTCAGATAATGATGATCCTGTGATCACTCACCTGTAGTCAGACATCCTAGAGTGAGAATTTAAATGCAGCAGTTTCAAGCACCATCTTTTAGGATTTGAAACAGCTCAGCTGGAATTCCATCATTTCAAATCCTAAAAGATGGTGCTGTGAAACTGCTGCACTCAATATTCCAGCAAATTTGGAAAACTCAGCAGTGACCACAAGAATGGAAAAGGTCAGTTTTCATTCCAATTCCAAAGAAAGGCAATGCCAAAGTAGGTTCACATTACCACACAAATGTTCACCCGCTAGTAAAGTAATGCTCAAAATTCTCCAAGCCAGGCTTCAACAGTACATGAACCAAGAACTTCCAGATATTCAAGCTGGATTTAGAAAAGGCAGAGGAACCAGAGATCAAATTGCTAACATCGGTTGAATTGTAGAAAAACAAGAGAGTTCCAGAAGAACATCTACCTCTGCTTTATTGACTATGCCAAAGCCTTTGACTGTGTGGATCACAACAAACTGTGGGAAATTCTTAAAGACATGGGAACCCCAGACAACCTTACCTGTCTCCTGAGAAATCTGTACGCAGATCAAGAAGCAACAGTTAGAACCAGATATGGAACAACGGACTGGTTCCAAATTGGGAAAGGAGTACATCAAGGCTCTATATTATCACCCTGCTTATTTAACTTATATGCAGAGTANGTCCTTCTAGTCAAAGCTGGAGGGCTATGAGGGCTTCTCTCATAGCTCAGTTGGTAAAGAATCTGTCTGCAATGCAGGAGACCTGGGTTCAATACCTAGGTCAGGAAGATACCCTGGAGAATAAAATGGCAACTTACTCCAGTATTCTTGCCTGGAGAATCCCATGGACAGAGGAGCCTGGCAGGCTACAGTTCATGGGGTTGCAAGAGTCAGACATGACTGAGTGACTAAGGAGAGAAAGAGAGTCAAAGCTATGGTTTTTTCCCATAGTCATGTGTGGATGTGAGAGTTGGACCATAAAGAAAGCAGAGCACAGAAGAATTGGTGCTTTTGAACTGTGGTGTTGGAGAAGACTCTTGAGAGTCCTTTGGACTGCAAGGAGATCAAATCAGTCAGTCCTAAAGGAAATCAGTCTTGAATATTCATTCGAAGGACTGCTCTGAAGCTGAAGCTCTGATACTTTGGCCACCTGATGCAAAGAACTGACTCACTGGAAAAGACCCTGATGCTGGAAGGACTGAAGTCAGGAGGAGAAGGGGACACCAGAGGATGAGATGGTTGGTTGGCATCACCTATGTAACTAACATGTGTTTGAGCAAGCTCTGGTTGCTGGTGATGGACAGGGCAGCTTGGCGTGCTGCAGTCCATGGAGTCACAAAGAGTTGGATACAACTTTGTACTAAACTGAACTGAATAGGTCAATAAATAGTACAGCGGAATAGAATTAAGGTTTTTTGAGATGGCATGTCTTTGGGTTGTTATGGTATGGTAGGTTAGCCAAGAATTTTTATTGTTGATTGGACATCTACTTTTTGATAGGCAATATTCTCATCCTTAATGTAAGGATAGTAGCATTTAATTATAACAACTTTGAGGTCTGCAATCTTATGGCAACATTACAGATAAGAGGTGTGAGTTCAGAGAAGTTACATAAATTGCCCCAGGTCAATAAATAGAAATAGAATCTGAGGTCAGATCCCATTTCAGTCCTCTTTCTCTCCACTAAGCTAGTATACCCAAACTTAAGGATGGCGGTTCATATACTTATTGACCTCATTACTATTATTCTCCCATATCACATAGGAGAATCAGTAACTAAATGCACTCACATTAACTGATTGCTATGCTTTGAGCAAAGAGAGGGGGCAACAGAAAGCAAAACTGTGCAACTATAACTATTAACAGAGAGAAAAGAATGGAATCTAATATTCATAATCCCATAACATGGCTAAAACAGAAATCTCACAGGAAGCTAGATCCTCTGTTATTTGTATTCATTGATCTCACATTATTCTAGATCCTCTGTTATTTTTCTACTCACCTTTACAAAGACGAATTTCCATAAACCAAGGAATTGTGCCTTGACACTGCTGATAAACACTTTCACCCAGTCGGTACCTAGGGACAAAGAGTCAAGACATTTTGTCATCTGTGGACCATTAGCCTAAGCAAGAGCTATTGGCTCAATAGCAGGTATTACTTTCAGGACAGGCAACTATAGGAACAAAAACGTAGCCACCATCAGCACAACCCATCCACTGAATAGCATAGTTTCCATTAATGGAAAAATAGAGTGATCAGCCTTCCACAGACCCGTGAAGATGGTCTTTGAGATAAACTCTTAACACAGAGTTTGCAGTGTACCTAGTGTAATCTGAGACAGTCATCCCTTACCCTTCATCACAAGAAGAGTTAACATCTAGTCTAATGAATTGGTTCTTGGGTTTTTTAAAGACTTGCTTTCCGACAGGTTCACATTCTGCCACTAAGAAAAAAAGGGAGAATGAGAAATCAACTGAAGGCCATCTCAAAACCAAAAAATTTAAAAAAAAAAATCAAAATTCAAAGCCTGGCACCTTTGCATGTGGGAGCAGTGGGTATCCACACTCCATCAGGGGTGCAGCGTATGGATTCTTCCCCCACCAGCACATAGCCAAGGTCACAACTGTATTTTATGGATGTTCCAGGGTCAAAGCGAACTCTGTGTCTGTCTTCCTTTTGCCCATGGAGGATTTTAGGAGGGGCTTGACAATCTGAAAGAAAGGCAGAAATTTTTCTTATGTGAACATCAGAGAAAAGCGAGCCAAAGATACTGATATCAGTGCTACCCCTGCATTCTGGCCGCGGGTGCACACACAGATGTAACCCGGCAGCCCAGTTTTGCTAACTTCAGATCAGTAGTTATCATTTTATGTTTTTTCTGCATTTAGACCGCTGTAGATTGTTTTCCATTCCAACTGAGTGCTCCAACTATTTGCTGTCTCTTCCGGTCTTAAGTAATCCTCTTGTATGCTTCTAATGGGAGATTCTGATCTATCTGTAGGGTGGGATTTTCCTAAAGTCTCTTTTAAGAAATCACTGTTAAGACAAGCAAACATCTTTCCCAGTTTTTTTTTTTTTTCTTTAAAGAAATGGACAACTTAGTGAGCCCCTAATGTTTTTCTGCCAAGGATACTTCCACAAGATGGATGGCAGACAGTGTTTTTAAAGGCTTCTGCATAACTTATATTCACTATATCTGCTGTGGGTAAGCTTCCCTGGTGGCTCAGCTGGTAAAGAATCCACCTGCAATGCAGGAGAGCCTGGTTCGATCCCTGGGTTGGGAAGATCTCCTGTAGAAGGGATGGGCTACCCACTCCAGTATTCTTGGGCTTCCCTAGTGGTTCAGATGGTAAAGAATCTGCCTGCAAGGTGGGAAGATCCCAACCCAGGGATGGGAAAACAATGGAAACAGTGACGGACTTTATTTTCTTGGGCTCCAAAACTGCTGCAGATGGTGACTGCAGTCATGAAATTAAAAGACACTTGCTCCTTGAAAGAAAACCTATGACCAACCTAGACAGCATATTAAAAAGCAGAGACATTGCTTTGTCGACAAAGGTCTGTATAGACAATGCTATGGTTTTTCCAGTAGTTACATATGAATGTGAGAGTCAGACCATAAAGAAAGCTGAGAACCAAAGAATTGATGATTTTGGACTGTGGTGTTGGATAAGATTCTTGAGAATCCCTTGAACTGCAAGGAGATCCAACCAGTATATCCTAAAGGAAACCAGTCTTGAATGTTCATTGGAAGGACTGATGCTGAAGTTCCAATACTTTGGCTACCTGATGTGAAGGGCTAACTCATTGGAAAAGATGCTGATGCTGGGAAAGATTGAAGGCAGGAGGAGAAGGGGATGACAGAGGATGAGATGGTTGGATGTCATCACCGACACAATGGACATGAGTTTGAGCAAGCTCTGGGAGTTGATGATGGACAGGGAGGCCTGGCATGATGCAGTCCATGGGGGTCACAAAGAGTCAGACATGACTGAGTAACTGAACTAAACTGATACTTGGTATAACTGAGGGGACTGGAAGCTAGAAAAGGTCCTGCTGAAGTCTGTAACACCTTCTCTAATGTTTCTAAAGAAGGAATCAGTGGGACTTATCTGAACATTGGAATACCCACCCTTTTCACAGACTGGTATTGATGGTTCCCATGTGCCTTGGGCATTACATCGGACTGCCTTGCTACCCTTCATGGTAAAGCCAAATATGCAAGCAAATACCACAGTGTCATTGTAGGAATATCGATCTTTCTGCCCAGATGATATTTGGCCTCTTGGGATCTGAGGAGGTGGACACCAAACCTCAGACACAGAAAGTTCACAGCGTGGGGCAGGCCCACTCCAGGCCCCAGTCTTCTGACTGCCAGCAGTACAACTGATTGTCCTCTCCCCAATGAGGATGAAGCTCACTCCCTCCTCTGGGCCCGGGTCACAGGTGTAACTGACTGTCTGTCCATATCGAAAGGTCACTGAAGAGGTGCCTGTATGTCTTCCATTGAGTACAGGAGGCGGTGATGGGCAAAAAATTTCTAGAAAATTAGAGAGAGAGTTGACAAGGTTACCGCTGTACTATCAACCAAGAATGTCTCCGGTGTTTTTAGATGCCACCCTCACATCCTGGGTTCAGGGACAATAGTGTTTGAATCTGTAATGAATCTGTCAAAGCAGCTATAGCAAAATAATTCAGAAAGTATGATCTAAAATTTTTTTCCTGAATATATCTATTTTGCTGATCCTTTTATTTCTTTTACCAAGTATAAAATCTCCATTATGTGCATGGCCTGGATGGCAATTGTACATAACTTTCAGAGAAAGAAATGCTCAGGAACCCTATTTTACCTGAGTAAGCAAAGGATAAAGAGATAATACAAGGATGCTTCAGTGAAGAATATATCCCTTAAAATCTAAAGATCTCTTCACAGCCTGTGCAAGTCAATGAAACTATGAGCCATGCTGTGCAGAGCCACCCAAGATGGATGTTCATGGTGGAGAGTTCTGAAAAAATGTGATCCACTGGAGAAGGAAATGGCAAACTACTTCAGTACTCCTGCCTTGAGAACCCCGTGAGCAGTATGAAAACAGATCTCTCTCTTCTAGAGATCTTTGTTCTATAAGATCCTATATAGTAACACCTGGACAAAAAACTTTCAGTTAAGCTGAGAATGCAGTGTCTTGCTGAACCTCTGGCCGAGGAGCAAGTTACAAACTACAGCTGCCCAACTTACCTTCACACGTTGGCATCCTGGTCCAAAAAGTACGCTGTCCAACAATTACACACTGGCTAGAAAGTGGTCCTTGTAACCGATACCTGGAGACAAAGGAGGTCATTCAGAATGATTAGGCAGAATGAAAGCCTCTATTAAAAATCCAAGATAAATTCATTTAATTTGTGGGCACTAACTTCTTTTTATCAACATTACCTCTTACAACCTCAAGCTGTCCATCGGCCCTCATAGTTTCACAGTTCACACATGTACACATATGTCAAATGTATGAAATCCCATTGGGCCTCTGGACACTTACCCTTCATTACAGGAAAAGTTCACAGTTGCACCAACCCCCAAACTAGTGGGCCTCTTTATCTGCCCATTGAGAAATGGTCGTGGAGGTTCACACAGTGCTTCTAAGAAAACAAGCCAAAGATGAGCAAAATATGGCAAGTAACATAATAGCCCAAATTCTTAACACAGATGATTGCCAATTTAGAGTACCTTTACATGTGGGAGCAACAGCACTCCAGTCTCCCGAAGACAAACAGTGAATGGTGTTTTTTCCAAAAATTAAATAACCAGGTTCACAACTGTAGGTCACAATCAATCCTGGGGCAAAGGAGGCAACACTCTCCCCTGTGTGATGCCCATTGGTAATTGTGGGAGGAGATGGACACTCCTTGGGGATATCTTTACACACATTAGAAAAAAGGTCATCAGATAACAGTTCCTTCACAGTCTGTATTTTGATTCAGTACATACATCCAAATAAATGATACATGATCTATGGCAAACAGTCATTATTAATTTTCAACTCAGTCTTTTAAAGATTAAACAGTTGTGGTTTAATTATATCCACTTTATACCACAAATAGTACATTATCTTTTAGTTATACTTTATGAATTATATTTGCCATGTGAAAACCTTCAATTACCAAAAAATAAAGTCCATTTTTCACTCATACTCCCGTTCTACCCTATGCTCCAAAAGTAGCATGCTGTTATTTATAAGATTATCCTGCCAGATATCAGTAATATAGTTTTTTTTATCCTATGTGTGATACATATACACACATTTTTTATACACACATTTTTGCTGTGTGTGATACTCAATACATATTATTCAATGCCTTGCTTTATTTGTTTAATAATCTATATCTTTCCATGTCAATACATAGAGGCCTATCTAAGTCTTTATAAAGACTTAATTGTTTTCCAGGCTTCCCTGATGGCTCAGATGGTAAATAATCTGCCTGCAATGCAGGAGACTTGGGTTCCATCCCTAGGTCAGGATGATTCCATGGAGAAGGGAATGGCAACACACTCCAGCGTTCTTGCCTGGAGAATTCCACGGACAGAAGAGCCTGGCAGACTCCAATCTGTGGGTCTCAAAGAGTCAGACATGACTAAGTGACTATCAAACACACACACAATTGTTTTCCATGATCATCTCATTTGTGACTATCTTCAGAATGCCTCTAAGATTTTATATTTTATAGATAGAATCATATTTTGATTACTTTATTTTGATAGTACAATTTTTGTCAAATATTGCCAGTTCCCATAATTACATAACTGAAATTCAGATTTAGAGTTCAAGCAACATAAGTCAAACAAAATAAAAGTAAAGGAAGAGTTTACAGTAGTTGTTGTTCAGTTGCTAAGTCATGTCCAACTCTTTGCAACCCAATGGACTGCAGCCTACCAGACTTCCCTGTCCTTCACTGTCTCCTGGAGTTTGCTCAAACTCATGTCCATTTTCAAAGTTACTTGATTTGAAATGTTATGGCTTAGGAGATGAGTTTGGAAGACAGTGTGGGTCACTCACAAAGTATTTATAGAGGTCAAAGGGAATGGCAGATCATTTCTGCCATACTACATTAACAGCTCTTATAGATAAATTTTAAATCCATTTGGTGTGTTTTTGTTCTAAGATCCCACATTTCCTTTCATTTGACAATACCTTAGATAGACAGTTTAAACTATCCACTTCCCACAGTCCAAACTAACTCTGGCCTCCATCGTTGTGAGACATTCCTTTCAATTATTAGGTGTGTTCAGTTAGATTTTCCCATTATATTTTAAAATTCTTTGCTCTATTGATGAATGAATATTTATATCCCTCTACAACTAAGAAAAAACAGGAAACTATAACTTTTACCCTTTCCCTTGCTTCCTCCCTCCACCCTTACCATTTACACATTCACACTGTTCTTCCTTCAGAATGATACCAAACTTAACATGCACAGAAATGCAAGGTTCCAAGCTCCTGATTCAATTTTATTTTCATTCTACTCACCACTCTCACAGATTGGTAATGGTGTCGGACCCCATGTTCTATTTGCTTGGCACCAAACAGTTTTATTTCCTTTCATGGTGAAATTGGCATAACAGGAAAATGTCACAGAATGGCCATGTCTAAAGGGTGGTCTAGATGTTTTAGTTCGGTATCCCCCTGGTACTATGGGTTCAGAGCAAACAGAATCTCTATTGTAATATTCACAGATAGGAGGAGCTTTATCCCAAATTCCATTCACATTGTCTTTACTTATACAAAAAAGACGTCTTTCTCCAATGATGCGGAAGGCACTGGGACATGTGTAGGTCACCACAGCATTAAGAGCTACAGGACCAGAATGAGAACTACTGCGTCCATTTTTGATAGAAGGAGGGGGGTCACAAAAAATCCCTGAAAAGTAGGAAAGAAAATAAGTGGTCACACTGATCATGAAAATAAGATTCGAATTTAGATAAAAGATACAAGTATATCTCATGTCACTGTTTCAGAAATAGATTAGAAATTTGTATAATTTATTTCTTATTCATACTCATTCTGACAGCTCAGTAAGACTGGTCCCTAAGCTGCTAAATTCTTACCTTTCTCTTGATCTTTAGCAAAAAAAGCAATTAGGACCAAACAATAACAATGAAACAGAATTTATTGAATAGTTCTGTGTCTAGTCAACTTTAATAATGAAACAAAAGGTAAATAGTAGATGAAAATAATGTTAATGACATACTAATCACAAGTGTACAATTTGGGCTCAATAGGCCTGGTTTCAAATCCCCACGATCATTCAATAGCTGCGTGACCTTAGGCAAGTCTCACCCTCTTTAAGCCTCAGTTTCCTAATCCAGTAAGATAAAAGTAGCTGAAAAGGACAAGTACAATACCTGGAGCATGCTAATTATGCAACACCTATTTCAAACACAACTGGGGCTATAAGTATAGAGACCACATTCTGTCCTGTTACAAAAGATCCTGCATCCTCACAGCAAGTCAATTGTCTTCTTTTAATGGTTGTCTCCTTTGAAGAAGCCACAGGAAATGGTTTCAAATAATATCTTTTATTTACTTGTCCTAATGGGCATGAAGAATATTAATTGTTTATAGCTGTGTTAGTATATGTACACTTTTCCTGAGTGAGTCTCAGAATAAAGGAAAAACTGCCAACCTCTGAAACTTGTGGTTGATCTCCACTTAGCTCCAAGACTTGCTCATCAGATGAGGAAGTGGCATAACCATGTCAGTGCATCAGTGCTATTCATTTTCAGTAGGAGTAACTTTTGAGAGCCTTTATCCTTATACACATAGTATACTCAACACCATTTGTAGTCAACTGAATAAATTTAGTTTTGGCCTGCATTCTAGAACATACAGAAGAGTGGCATATATATGTTCAAAGCATATATGTTGATAAGATTTTATAACTGATAAATGCATGAGAACACACCAGAAATCAAGAGGCATGATCCACACTTGCTTATTTTTGCTTTCTACTCACGTTCACAGACAGGAAACTTATTACTCCAGAATACTCTCATTCCTTCTGAGACGCACTGACTAGAAGACTGGCCATTTAACCGGTACCTTAAACAATAAGGGGCAGCAAATTATCACCAGAACAAACCAATTCTCCATTACATGGAGCTAAACACTTCTTTCAAGGGTGTGGTATTAATGGGCTCTATTTTCATAGAATTTTCCTTAAGGAAAAAGTCCAAGATTGCGAATCAGCTAAGCTATGTGAAGACTTCAGACCAGCTAAAAACACAGAGTAAACAGTCCTGATGGTCTGTTCTTTTCTTGAGTTCTTGCTTTAATCTTCAGCATCCAAATGTTAAGATTTTCTTGACCATTAGAAGGAAACAACCTTAGTGCCTAATGAAGAAAACATCAAAGACTTTGTTTTCTAAGCTCACTTCAAAGATCCCCTCTTACTGAACCCTCAACATCTATTCAGTCTCCATAAAAGAAACCTTAATTTCTGAGCCTAATCTTTGCTCAGATGAAAGGACAATTCCCAACTTTGGCTGACCATGCACACATTTGGAGAAAATAAATGGGATTCTCTTAATAACAGAATTCTTGATGATAAAAGGTAAAAAAAGGAGAGAGAAAATCAGAGACAAAAAAAAATGTAACTGTCTTTAAAGATCACACTTTGCAATGACTAGCTATGGATCACTTTGCACTCACCCTTTATCACAAACAAATGAAACCTCTGCCCCAAGCTGGAAATTAGGAGGAACTACCACATGGCCATTGAGAAGTTGGTTTGGAATGTCATCACATGATTTCACTAGGGAAAAAGAAACAAGGCTGGCACATGAAGAGTCAGGAAACAGATGAGTTTCCTTGAGATGAAATAGACCTTTATGCACCTTCACATTTGGGTGCTAGATGGCTCCACATTCCCAAGGGTGTACACCGTATAGGGTTAGTTCCAATGAGAGTGTAGCCAGGCTCACAGCTGTAGAACACTTCCTGCCCAACTGCAAAGAATTCCTCATCCAATTGGTTATAATTACCATGGAGGGTATGTGGAGGTGGTAGACACCCTGAGAAAAGAACAGGACCAGGGGCCTGTTATTTCTAAAATAAGAACTTTCTTCTCTACAGCCTAAGTCAATTTAGGGTTGGCAGGAGTTGGATGAAGGTGATCATGTCAGCCCTCATAAGTGTAAGGCAGACACTCTTTTGGGTGAGGCAGAGTGGGGCTACCATATGCTACATATTTTAGACACGATGAACTTTGCATCTATCTCCTCTGAATCTTGATCTATGCCAGGAAATATGACCCCTCTTCATCATGTTCCTGTTTTATTTAAATAGATAGATATCCTCTCACTAATACTGTAGCCAAAGGAACCAAACTATTATAATGCCTTTTTTTTTTTTTAACCACCGAAATCTCCTCTTTCTTCCTGGTCCCCACACCACTGATGAAGCGTCTAAGTCTTGGGGAAGGAACTCCCAACGGTACCAGGTTTTTACTAAGTCGGACATTTCTCAATAAAAGTAGGGGAAAGAAGGGGAATGGGGGAAGTGACTCAATCTTAATTCTAACCTTATTCCATAAACGCTACATTTTTCAATAGAAGAATGTATAAAACCTACAGTAATTTGAATCAAATTCTGATCAGTTAAGTTTCCCCACTGGCCTGGTTAATGGGATTAAGAGTTTATTTTATCCTCATTTAAATGAAATCTAACCATATACAATTTTAATCATATCAAAAATCTTTGGTCATCGGCTCTGGTACTATCTGCTTTTTTTTTTTTTTTAAGTGTCTTCTGATTTCCCCTAAATTAATGTATATCTAGCTATGTCCCAGAATATAGTAAACTTATCTCTTCAACATTTAGGTACTACTTTCAAAGTTTACTTTTAAATTCTTTTTTTTCCCATTTACCACATCACCCTATTTAACCCCCAAATTGTATGTAATTATTTTATATTGTTAGGTTAATCATGTTTCCATTATAATTATAATTACCTTTTAATTTTGTCTAGTTATTGATTGTGAAAACTGATAAACATCTTTTACTATTGTGATTATGCAACTATTATTCACTTAATACCACTGTATCATGATTGATCAACAGAAAATAACAGAATTCTATATCACTAAAACTACTATTTAATAGAAAAACTTGAATTTACTTTTTAAAATCCAGATACATAGCAGAATTATTTTGGATTTTTTTTTAAATAAAAATGTCCACGTATTGCTACTTTTCTCTCCAGAGCTCCAGGTGTGTTTCTAATGAGTAGATATGTTTAAAAACAACTGGACTATATGATGATCTCTTACTTTTATCTAGTTTGTTGCACCTTTTCTATTTCATATTCAGTGCTCCCATTTCACTTAGTTTATGTTTTCCAATTTCTCCATCTCTTTCTTCTTGTTATTGCTGCTTTTCTTTCTCAAGGCTTTATCAAGCATAGTAGAAAAGATTTTGTAGATCTATATGTATGTAGTATTATAATAAATATATTTTAGAAAATTTATGAATCTTTGCCTAGCTACTTTTAAATTCTTTAACCAGGATATCAACAACATACACTGTCTTTACCATCCTTGTCTCATAGGTATCCTACATCTATCTCTCCCAAAAATCTCATTTTATTTCTACATCCCCAAAGTTGCAGCCCAACTCACCCTTGAAGCACTTTGGCAGTGGAGGATTCCATTTGCTGTTTGGTTGGCACCATACTGTGTTGCTGCCTTTCATGGTAAAGCCAGGCTTACACTTAAACATCACAGAATCATTTAAGGAAAATGAATGCCTAAATCCAGATTCCATAATTCCATTTTCAACTTCTGGAATTGGGCATTTGACTACAGGAATACACTGAGGGGCAGGACTGTTCCAGATGCCAACTTGATTATCTTTGCTGGTGCAATATATTGACTTTTCACCCACGAGGTCAAACAGCTTTTTCCCATTCTGTCCAACATGGCATTTATAAGTAACCACCATTCCATAGTAAAAATAGTCTCTATTGCTGCTGTAAAAGTCTCCATTTAAGATGGCTGGGGGTGGCTCACAAGGAATAGCTTTGGCGGCATGGTAGGTAGGAAAAGAGAGAAGACATTTAAATGTTATATCTTCTGTAACAGACACATGAAAAGATGCTCAACATCACTTATTATCAGAGAAATGCAAATCAAAACCACAATGAGGTACCATCTCACGCTGGTCAGAATGACTGCTGTCAAACAGTCTACAAACAATAAATGCTGGAAAGGATGCAGAGAAAAGGGAACCCCCTTACACTGTTGCTGGGAATGCAAACTAGTACAGTCACTATGGAGAACACTATGGAAATTCCTTAAAAATCTGGAAATAGAACTGTCATATGACCCAGCAATCCCACTCCTGGGCATACACACCAAGGAAACCAGAACTGAAAGAGACACGTGCACCCCAATGTTCATCGCAGCACTGTTTATAATAGCCAGGACATGGAAGCAACCCAGATGCCCATCAGCAGACGAATGGATGAGGAAGCTGTGGTACATATACACCATGGAATATTACTCAGCCATTAAAAAGAATTCATTTGAATCAGTTCTAATGAGATGGATGAAACTGGAGCCCATTATACAGAGCGAAGTAAGCCAGAAAGATAAAGACCATTACAGTATACTAACACATATATATGGACTTTAGAAAGATGGTAACGATAACCCTATATGCAAAACAGAAAAAGAGACTCAGATGTATAGAACAGATAAACTCTTACAAAAGGTACTTAGAGTGCCATCCACTCTGCATGGATTTAAGCTAGCAGTGTGGAGTCTTGTGGCATATTTTAGACTGGAGCACTTAATCACTGTGAACTAACTCACCACCAAGGTACAGTAGCAAAAGAAAGGGTAGTGGGGTCAGGGGCGTGGAAGAAGATAAATCACAGATTTATGTCCAGATCTGCTCAGAACATGTGTAACTTTCCTGGGTACTTATTTTGATGTGTAGACGCCCACTTTCCCTCTAGAGGGGGACAAGAGGGAAAATTCTACTCACATTCACAAACGGGTAGGTCCGTATTCCAGGTTACAGTATTGTCTAAGAAATCACATGTAGCAGATGAGCCACCAATGAGTCGATATCTAAAGATAAAGAGATGAGTGATCATCTCCCAGCTGGACATTTTAGAAAAGCTTAGATCTTTTTCCACTGAAAGAATGGCAAAGAATAGAATATCATGGTGAAAGTAATGGTGAAAGACTATGGACACATACATAAGATTCAACAATCTAAACACAAGTGAAATTTGACCTCCTGGTCACTAACAGTGAAGATTTAAAATTGGAAGAGGAGTAGCGCAAATTTTTTCTCTTCTAGGGATCCTCTCTAGTGGGTCATCCTAAACAGTTCTCTCTGGAACATATCAGAGAGGTGATTCTTTTATTTATCTATTTTTAAGGGTGGGTGGCAATTACTCATATCTTCTTTTTGGAAGACAAATGATTTCCATTGACACTACTGTTCTAATATCCATGTACTCTGGAGATGTCTCCTGCCAACTCACCCATTGTCACATGAAAATGTAATTGTTGCCCCAAACACGATACCCTGAGGTGTGTGGACAGAGCCATGGAGGAGTTCTCTAGGAACCGAACATGATTTACCTACAAGCGAGAACAAAACAGAAAAAAATTTGGGATTGGGATTTTGGGGATTTTTTTCTGCTGTTATTAAATTCCAATCTGACTGGACTTGCTGAGTAGCCTACTCATGCTTATGCAAAGAAATTTTGGACATTTAGAAAACTTTTATCTTTCAACTCCATAACACTATTTGTTTAAAACATGTAGTCTATATTTCTAAGCATGGATGAAAATATTATTTGTGGTCAACCATAATTTATAGTCTCTACTTCCCCCTTTTATACTCTGTCAGTTGATGGCAACATCTACCAAGTCTTGTGGCTTAAAAAAAAAAAAAGTTATCATTTCCTTTCTGTAACTCATTATTTACCACCTGTCCTTAATTCAATTGATCATCAAGTTTTCATGACTAGATTACAGAAATCTCTCTTCAAACCAGTTATTTTGCTACTGCTAAAATCTCTCATTAGATCACTGAGTAATGAAATTTACCTTTCTAATGCTGGTTGCCACTGGTCCAGTACATGTTTTACGCCACTGCACACATTATCATTCAGAATCACAAATGCAGTCATGCCACTCCCCACATTCAAAAACTTACAATCACTTACCAATATTCATTGGAAAAGAATGTATGGCCCACCACAGTTAACGTCCAGTCCTCACCATCTACTATTTCTCACCATGAACCTTATGCTCCAACCATAATGTTTTTTCTATTTTCTATTTTCCAAAGACATCATGTTCTTCCATATCTTTATATGTTGACATATGCTGTTTTTTCTGTCTGTAATGCCCAGATTTCCCTGATCTCCTAGATAGCACTTATTATTTACTTATTTGTGATGTCATATAATTTTATCTCTATAGATATAAGAAATTATACCATAGTACAAATAATATAGGCATTCTGCAAAGACAGAGACTAGCAGATTAATTTATATATCTCTCCCCAACTCCACCATCTAGCTTAATGCTTTATACCTAGTGGTTATTCAAATATATTTCTTGAATTGAATTGGGTAAGATTGAGGTGAAACTAATATTAGTTTATACTTATATATATATGTATATATATATATATAAGTATATACTAATATATTAACTTGTAAGATCACTGTAACACAGTACACAGACCACAGAACAAAGTCATGGAGATTATAGGATAAACAGATTTGGCCAGCTGTGATGATTTAACTCCAATACCCAATATCTAATACCCTTAGGAGTAAAAGAAAACATGGAGAACCTAGGAACCCATTCATTTGAGATTACTGACTAATTTTCTTATCTTTTATCTTGAAAATTACAGGTTAGCCCATAGAGACATGCTATAGATGCAAAGATTCTTCTATTACATATTACTCACGTTTACAGAATTGCTGAGCATTTGACCACTTGGAAGTCTTTAGGCAGGTGACAATGAATGACTTCTTGAAATACCCAGGAAGGCATTCATATTCCCAAGTTTCGCCAACAGCAAACTCAGACTGATCACTCTGAATTTTAGGCTTAGCAAAAGGATACCTTGGCAGGGATTTACACTGACCTAGAGACAAAGATCACAGGAATATCAAAACTAAGAGAGGCTAAAATCTCTACTGTGCTTCTGTATGGTCACCAGTTACAATGACAAATTTGATCTTTAGAAATTAAATCTAATATGTAGATATTGGGGGGGCCAAAGAAAATGTGGAGAAGGCAATGGCACCCCACTCCAGTAATCTTGCCTGGAAAACCCCATGGACAGAGGAGCCTGGTAGGCTACAGTTCATGGGGTTGCGAAGAGTCGGCCATGACTGAGCGACTTCATTTTCACTTTTCACTTTTATGCATTGGAGAAGGAAATGGCAACCCACTCCAGTGTTCTTGCCTGGAGAATTCCAGGGATGGGGTCGCACAGAGTTGGACACGACTGAAGTGACTTAGCAGTAGCAAAGAAAATGTATCTTACAGTATGAATGCATATGCAGAGAAACAAGCTCAGGAGTTCAAAGACTTTTTATGACAGACTTCAGAAGAAGAGCTGAAGAAAATGATATTTTAATAAAATTCCATAAAGACCCTGGAGTTCCACCTTTATAAAATCTCATAAATAAAAACTAAAATGGTATAAAAACTTTTCTGCAATATCACAGGAAACAAGTATATCAAGTATATCAGATCTTGTAAGCTCATCTCATGCAAAAACCTCCAAAATTATTTTTATGAATTAACATTCCTATTTTAATCTTTAAACCTTTAGGTCCTAGCAAGGAGAAAATAGGATTTTTTTATTCTTCATTATTTTTTCCATTTACCTAATGGAGTAATATGCCCCCTAAAGCATTTAGTAAATACTTTCTGATGGGTACCAGATAAAAGGAGATAGTTGTTTCAAGATATGTCCCTGCGACTTAAAATAATTGTGATAATGATGATGAAGAAGAAACAAATCTTATTCTAGGAGATGAGGAAAAAAAAAAACTGTAATTCCCTGATGCTTAAGAATGTACCTTGAAAATAATTTTTCTAGATATGAAAGACAGTTCAAGTTTCAACTCCAGAATGATGGTATATTTGAATATTAAATCTATAAATCTCCTTTTTCAAACAAATCTGAAATAGTTACAGGTGCAAGTCAAAGAACAAACATGAACTAACTGACACAGAGGAAAACACAGCACTCCCAAGGTTATAGCTGGATCCAGCCTTTTTGTAGCCAACACTTCTATTAGTGGAGTCATATAGACAGGAGTCTCTGGTGGAGGCATGGGCCAAGCAACAGCGAGCAAACACAGCCCTGCCCATGCACAGATAATTGGATTAAAGATTTACTGAGCATGGCCTCACCCATCTAAACAAGACCCAGTTTCCCACACAGTCAGTCTCCCCCATCAGGAAGCTTCCATAAGCCTCTTATCCTTATCCCTCAGAGGGCAGAGAGAATGGAAACCACAGTCACAGAAAACTAACCAAGCTGTCCACATGGACCACAGCCTTGTCCAACTCAAGGAAACTATGAGCCATGCTGTGTAGGGCATGCGGAGAGTTCTTACAAGATGTGGTCCACTGGAAAAGGGAATGGCAAACCATGTCAGTATTCTTGCCTTGAGAACTCCATAAAGAGTATGAAAAGGCAAAAAGATAAGACACTGAAAGCTGAAATCCCTAAGTCAGTAGGTGCCCAATATGCTACTGGAGAAGAGTGGGGAAATAAATCCAAAAGAAATGAAGAGACTGTGTCAAAGCGAAAGGCCCACCTAGTTGGGGACATGACTGGTGACAGAAGTAAAGTCTGATGCTGTGAAGAACGATATTGCACAGGAACCTGGAATCTTAGGTCCATGAATTAAGGAAAATTGAAAGTGATCAAACAGGAGATGGCAAGAGTGAACATTGACATTTTAGAAATCAGTGAACTAAAGTGGCCTGGAATGGGAGAATTTTATTCAGATGACCATTATATTTACTACTGTGGGCAAGACTCCCTTAGAAGACATGGAATCACCCTCACAGTCAACAAAACACTCTGAAATGCAGTACTTGGGTGCAATCTCAAAAATGACAGAATGGTCTCTGTTCATTTCCAAGGCAAACCATTCAATACCACAGTAATTCAAGTAATCCCCAACCACTAATGCCAAAGACGCTGATGCTAAATGGTTCTATGGTGACCTACAACACCTTCCAGAACTAACACCAAAAAAAAGATGCCCTTTTCATCATAGGGGACTGGAACGCAAAAGTAGGAAGTCAAGAGATACTTGACTAACAGGCAAGTAACAGGAGTAACAGGCAAATTTGGCCTTGGAGTACAAAATGAAAGGGCAAAGGCCAACAGAGTTTTGCCAAGAGAATGCATTGGTCATAGCAAACACCTTCTTCCAATAACACAAGAAATGATACTACACATGGACATCACCAGATGGTCAATACTGAAATCAGATTGATTATACTCTTTGCAGCTGAAGATGGGGAAGTTCTATACCCTCAGAAAAAACAAGACAGGGAGCTGATTGTGACTCAAATCATGAATTCCTTATTGCAAACTTCAGACTTAAATTGAAGAAAGTATGGAAAACCACTAGACCATTCAGGTATGACCTAAATCAAATCCCTTATGATTATACAGTGGAAGTGACAAATATACACAAAGGATTAGATGTGATAGAATCCCTGAAGAACTATGGACAGAGGTTCGTGACATTGTACAGGAGGCAGTACAATGGGATCGAGACCATCCCCAAGAAAAAGAAATGCAAAAAGGCAAAATGGTTGCCCGAGGAGGACTTACAAATAGCTGAGAAAAGAAAGAAAAGTGAAAAGCAAGGGAGAAAAGGAAAGATGTACTCATCTGTATGCAGAGTTTCCAAGAATACCAAGGAGAGATAAGAAAGCCTTCCAAAGTGATCGATGCAAAGAAATAGAGGAAAACAACAGAATGGGAAGACTAGATATTGCTTCAAGAAAATGAGAGATACCAAGGGAAAATTTCATGCGAAGATGGGCAAAATAAAGGACAGAAATTGTATAGACCTAACAGAAGCAGAAGATATTAAGAAGAGGTGGCAAGAATACACAGTAGAACTACACAAAAAACATCTTAATGACCCAGATAACCACAATGGTGTGATCACTCACCTAGAGACAGACACCCTGGATTCAGAAGTCAAGCGGGCCTTAGAAAGCATCATGACAAACAAAGCTAGTGGAGGTGATGGAATTCCAGATAAACTGTCTCAAGTCCTGAAAGATGATGCTGTGAAAGTGCTGCACTCAATATGCCAGCAGATTTGGAAAACTCAACAGTGGCCACAGGACTGGGAAAGGTCAGTTTTCACTCCAATTCCAAAAAAAGGCAATGCCAAAGTAGGTTCACACTACCACACAGTTGCATTCATCTCACACCGTAGCAAAGTAATGCTCAAAATTCTCCAAGCCAGGCTTCAACAGTACCTGAACCAAGAACTTCCAGATATTCAAGCTGGATTTAGAAGGAAGGGAACAAGATATCAAATTGCCAACATCCGTTGGATCATAGAAAAAGCAAGAGAGTTCCAGAAAAACATCTACTTTTGCTTTATCAACTGTCAAAACATTTGACTGTGTGGATCACAATAAACTGTGGAAGATTCTTAAAGAAATGGGAATCCCAGACCACTTTACCTGTCTCTTGAGAAATCTGTATACAGGTCAAGAAGCAGCAGTTAGAACAGGACATGGAAAAACCAACTGGTTCCAAAATGGGAAAGGAGTATGTCAATGCTGTATAAAGTTACCCTGCCTATTTAACTTATATGCAGAGTTCATCATGCAAAATGCTGGGCTGGATGAAGCACAAGCTGGAATCAAGATTGCCGGGAGAAATATCAATAACCTCAGGTATGCAGATGACACCACCTTTATGGCAGAAAGTGAAGAGGAAGTGAAGAGCCTCTTGATGAAAGTGAAAAAGGAGAGGGAAAAAGTTGGCTTAAAGCTCAACATTCAAAAAATGAAGATCATGGTATCTGGTCCCATCACTTCATGACAAATAGATGGGGAAACAATGGAAACAGTGAGAGACTTTTATTTCCTTGGGCTCCAAAATCACTGCAGATGATGACTGCAGCCATGAAATTAAAAGACACTTGCTCCTTGGAAGAAAAACTCTGACTAACCTAGTTAGCATATTACAAAGCAGAGACATTACTTTGCCGACAAAGTTCTGTATAGTCAAAGACATGGTTTTTCCAGTAGTTATGTATGGATGTGAGAGTTGGACTATAAAGAAAGCTAAGTGCTGAAGAATTGATGCTTTTGAACTGTGGTATTGGAGAAGACACTTGAGAATCCCTTGTACTGCAAGGAGATCCAACCAGTCCATCCTAAAGGAAATCAGTCCTGAATATTCATTGGAAGGACTGATGATGAAGCTGAAGCTCCAATACTTTGGCCACCTGATAGGAAGAACCAACTCTTTGGAAAAGACCCTGGGGCTGAGGAAGATTGAAGACAGGAGGAGAAGCGGATAACAGTGGATGAGATAGTTGTATGGCATCACCAACTCAGTGGACGTAAGTTTGAGCAAGCCCTGGGAGTTGCTGATGGACAGGGCTGCTTGGCATGCTGCAGTCCATGGGGTCACAAAGAGTCAGACATGACAGAGTGACTGAACTAGTCGACAGAATCTAAGAATAGCCTTTACTGCTGGGACCCATGTCACACTGTAGGTCTCTTGTTTCTTTTCTCAGCTCCTCTGTTTTCCTCCATTAACACCTACAAATGTCTTCAAGCACATACTTTTGCAAAACAGCAAGACTCTATGGGGAAAGTCAGGGTTTGACCTCAATGAAGACCAACTTCACAACCCTGTCAAAATTTGTATCAATTCACCCTATACATATCCAGTGTGAATAAAAACAACCCTAAATAATTCCACAAGCTGAAAACCTATCTGAATTTACAAGATTTATTTAGTAGTGATGTCATGGACTAAGATGCAACAAAGATCTTGGAGAAGCAAAATGTAGATGTTACTTTATAACATGACATGTGGGGGTGAAATTAAGTAAGAATCATACTTTT